ATCTATCATTATATAAAAAGATTAACCATTTAACAATTTTAGCAGTTATTTCCCGCCAAATACATTTAATGCCTACTAAATATAGATTTTCGGACATTATTAATCTGTTGGCCTTCAAACTCAGACCTAACAATTTGATCCCGTATGATTTTCAATAGCTATCCTAAGAGATATTTATTTTACAAATATAAAGATAAAGATTATTTTACAAATAAAAATTCTAAAAAAGTATTTGATTCACCAGACTCTTTAATTGTTATGTTGGCCTTCAAACTCGGACCTAACAATTTGATCCCGTATGATTTTGAATAGCACTCCTAACAGATATCTATTTTACAACAATAAAGATAATGATTATTATACAAATTAAAATTATAAACAAGATTAACTGAATTCTTATGATTGCTATCTTATTTTAAAATAATTTAGGTTATAGTTTTAGTTTGTTTTTTTTATTTTTAACAGCCGCATTGTGTAGATGCTGTTTTTCATTTCGTCGAGTAGAACTTGGTTCGAAATTTTTAATATTATATTGGAATATGACTTATTTTTATATATTTTTTAGTTTATTTCAATTATTAGCTATCACAATACATATTACTTATTCACACATTACAACATACATTGAATACCAATTTTTTGAACATTTAATTTATACTTATATAAAGAGCCATCTCATTTATTAGAACTAGTGTGTACCTCGTGCGATGCACGGGAACAATATTAAATTAACAATATTATAAATAGACCTCGAATTTGAGTCAATGGCGGAAGTGAAACTACTATTGATCCTATTTAAAAAGAGAAAGAAAAAAAATAATTATAAATAAAAGAGGAGGATAAACAATACTTAATAATTATAAACTAAAGATTCGGGGTCAAACAATGTAAAATTATTTTGTATAAGAGAATATAAATTGATTACCACCATTTCAAAATTCTTATTATACTTTTTTGTATGGTTAGCTTAGAATATTTGTAAAAATATTAATAATTAAACCGATGAAAATTAGCTTCTTAAAATAGATAATGGGTTTCTAGTAATAATTATGAATTGGTTTTTATTTTATTTTATTTTTTCTTTTTAAAGATAATGGATTTCTAGTAGTAATTATGATATGGTTTCTATTTTATTTTATTTTTTCAAATCTGTATAGATAAGGGATGAAATTTTTTAAACACGTAAGACGTATGCAATGAGATTTTTTAACAGAAGACATAAGTTTGTCTAGATTTATACTAAAAATAGGAAAAAAAAAACAAATATTTATTGTCAAAACGATAAACTAAGAAACAGGAAAAAGAGAAACAAATCTTTACACAATTAATGAGCGAATTTTATTGCCTATTCAGATTTGTCCA